GGCCAGCTCAGCCCACCAGGGGGCGGGGCTGGCTGGCATGTGGTGCTGGGGGATTGAACCGCAGTCCCTGTGCTTTCACTAAGCTTGTTCTAAGTAGGTACTTTAGACCACTGAGCCATCTCACCAGCCCCACCACTTTTAATTTCTTCTAATTTCTAACAGATACAGGATTTGTTGAAATTTTATGATAAAATGTTATCTCTGAGAGTAACCAAAGAATAAAGAATTTAAATTACTATGTGAGTAAAAAGTTCAATTGTTAAAAAAAAAAAAAAGTTCAATTGTTACAATATTGGTGAATAACCCAAGAAATTTCATGTTATATTGTAAGACAAAATGTGATGAGTTGCTGTAACATTTAACAGTTATAAATATTAAACTTCAAAAAGTATGGAACCACTTTGCCACTGAAGTTTAAAATTAAAATAGGTAATAAGGCACAATAATAATATTGTGGAAAATTTTTCCTACATACCTCAGATGACCCACTGCTCTTGTTCGTACTAGAGAAAGAAGAATATAGTCATTCTGTTGACCTTGAAATCTATCAACAGTTGTCACCTAGGAAGAAAAAAAAAAATCAAGATTATGGTATATCTATATATCTTCATATATAATATATATGGCATACCATACATATTAAAGCAAGACCCTGTAGAGATTTAGAAATTGACCCTCTCACCCTTAAAATAATCAAGCCCCAAAGAAACTTAAGCCGATGTTCAGAATTATAAGAACAAGTTAATGAACATCATTAAATATACCACTGCAATCAGATCAGGCTGTGCCCTTTGTTATTCACATTTATAACACATGTCTTTACTTTTACCAATTGTTAAAAGTAACTATTTTTGGAATTCACAGTTTCCCCCAACAGATTCCACTCAAACTTCATCAAAGCAAGGACTCTGTCTCGCTTATTAACTGGGATCTCAGTTTAATGTTGGAACCTTGACTTAACCATGCTCCTTCATTATTTAACACACATCTCTGGCACTTGTTCTGGTCATTTCCTTGCCAAAGAACAGTAACAGCAGGAAATTTGTGTGTATCTAAGTTCAGGAAGGTTAGTCACTAACACTGGCACTAAAGTATTTAACACTTATTAACAAAATACTTGTTTTTTCTCCTATAAAATGATAATTTATGGACTCTACTTTTACAAAGTTTATAACACTTTTATGTCAAGTTCTCAGAGGTGTTATCCATTTATAATAAAATGTGATTTTTAAATGTGTACTTCTGATGAATTTTGACAATGTATATTTCCATGTAAACGCCAACGTAATAGAAATTTCCATCACCTCAGGCTCTTTTGTGGTCAACACTACAACCTCCCAGCTTCAGGCCACCACTACTCTACTTAATGTCAATACGGATTATCCAGGTCTAGAACACCATAAGAGCAAGACCCTGAAGTAGGGACTCTGATGTCTACTTTCTGTCACTCAGGATAACATTTCCGAGGGCTCTATGTGTGCGCACACTAGATGTTCTGATGGATGAACGTATCAGGATTTGTTCATCTAATCACCCGCTCATGGACATTTAGGTTGTTTCTAGTTTGGGGCTATTTTGAATAAAGCTGCATTGAACATTCAAGGACAGATATTTCTGTGGGCATATGTTTTCAATGCCTGTGGATATATGTAGGAGTGACATTACTGGGCTGAATAGTAACTATGTTTAACTTGGTAAGAAAGTGTCAAAATGTTTTCCGAAGTTGCTATAACACATTACATATTCTCTCGATGTTTGGGCTCCCGAGCTCCACATCCTTGCCAACACCTGGTATATTGCCAATCACTACCTCATCCTATTGGATGTGCAGTAATATCTTACGGTATATTCTGGGGGAGTCTTATTGGCTCTTTGTAAGTCTTTTGGTTTATGTTCAGTTTGTACCGAGTTGTCTTATTTAATGGCAGGTCATACATTTCTGAAATTCAAATACTCAAATGTAAGTTCTGTGCTATTCACACGTGACTGTTATGTTACACATGAGTAGTACACCTGGAAACTGACGCCAGCATGAGCACGCAGAGAGCTTCTCTATAAGCTGGGCTCACACACTGAGAAAGGCAGAGCAGAACCTAGACACTTGAAAACGTCACTAAGCCACCCTACAACTCAACCCTGAAACCATCCTATCTTGTTTTAAAAGACACTAGCCTGAGATCTTTCTGAATGTTCCGTGCTTCAGTCGTTGGTTTCCAATTTTCACCCTATATTCCTTATGGAGTACACGTTGGCATCTATTACTCTATTCTTTTTTATTCTGCTTTCATTCCTGTGGCTTTACTTTCTCACAGTTCACCTCTTATTTCCCCTAGAATTTTTGCAATTCTGTATAGCTTTTCCTTATGAAATGGATATTTTGGGGCTGGGGAGATAGCTCAGTAGAATAAGCACTTGCCTGGCAAGCGCAAGGGCCTAAGTTCGATCCCCAGTTCCACAAAAAAAGAAAGAAAGAAAAGAAAAAAGAAAAAAAAAATGGTTATTTCATTGAGCATTTTTAAATTAATAGCAAAATACATATTCAAATTTATCTGTTCCAGGTCAACTTGTTTTCGGGGATGGGGAGATGGTTCAGTGAAATAAGCGCTTCCCTGGCAAGCACAAGGGTCTCTCTCAGTTCAATCCCCAGTTCCGCCAAAAAAACTTGTTTTCTAGAAACTGTCGTTTATTGACAGCTTTTAAAATTTTTCTTTCTTTCTTGAGTTGGGGGTCTCCCCACACTGCCCAGACTAAGTGCCAATTCTCAGGTGGAAGTGATTCCTCTGCCGCAACCACCCTGGAAGCTGGAAGCACAGGTACACACACTCAGCCTGTCTCGGCCATGCACTCACATTCTTTGCCTCACATTTTCCCGAACACAATGGGCTCATGCTGGTTGCTCTGACCCCCGATTAGCTATGTGCAAGAGGTTAAGTTGGGGTAGAGGAGCTGTCTACAAAATGCTGATGGTTTTTATTAATAAACGGTTCTCTACTTCTGTACAGACTAAATTGTGAAAATACAGCTCACCTGTAGGTTTATTTGAACAGATCTGTGAGCAGAAAGGCTTCTAATCGCACTCTAATTCCTGCATCCATTGTTGAACAACAAGGATCTAATTTACATTTGTCATCTTGTCTCTTATCTTCAGAAAATATTTTTCTGGTTCTCTAATACTGCTTCACCAAAATGTTTTTCTAGGTTTTCTTTCTGATCTCATACTTCCCTAAAATGAACCCTGTGCCGTCCTCCTCTCATTTTCTCATTACTTTTACAGGATTGCCAAGAAAAGGTAAACATTTTTTTATACATCTATGTCAAAAACGAGAGTTCTAATTTTATAATTGGCAAATTTCTCTCAATACAACTTTACAATCTTCCATTTCCCCGAATACAAACTTCCTACACACACGCATGCACACACATCTAAATCTTTGAAAAACAAAATCTATAGTTCATTTCTGCAATATATAAATTATAAATTCTGTTATCCATCATCTTATCAATAAAATATTTTAGAAACATTTATTTCTGAGTGTTATCAACAAAAATCTTCAATGTGGTTATTGAGATAGAAGTTCAATACAAACCAGGGAAATGTCAGATACAACAGTCACAGGTTTCTTTATAGTTCCTATCACTGTACGCTATCACATATTGTAGGGAGATAGAACAGCAACAAGATGGAGCAATACAATTACCTTATTTGGCCTTCCAATTAATGGATTATTCCCACATCGTCTATTGATGATGTCACGAATAAGATGCTTTTGCCCATTGTATGTTGTTAGAATACTAATTTTGTCCGCAGGGTAACCAAGTAAGCACATATACATAAAAAGTGCTACTACATATTCTGCCTCTCCAAGATTCTGTAAGGCAATTATAATCACATTGTGTATTAATTTCTTTGTTGCAATTTGATAGAGAAAATGGCCCATCTAATATAACTTGTTCACTCTGCATACTACAGTTAATAATCTAGACAACTGAACACATCTGATAAAACTGCTGGAGGATAACCTTGTGCTAGGTCAATATCAATAAATAAAAACTTTAGCATCTATAATACATAGAACAGTCATATCATTAAAGTTATCAGCTTAAATGCCTAATGTTCATGAAAGAACAAACAGTACATAAATTAATGATTTTGTAGTGTATAAAACTGTAGTTATGGAAAGAAATTTTAACATAAAGGAACAAACTAACTTATTAAGGAGCATGTACAGAATTGAGTCTAATGGCACTATACATCTAGCAGAATTGTAGCTCATCCTCAATTTCTATAATTTTTATTTTATTTTTACTTACTTTTGCAGGTCCTGGGGATCAAACCCAGGGATGCTTTGCCACTGAACTATATCATCAGCCCTTTTTATTTTTTGGGTTGAGACAGGACTTTGTAAGTTGCCCAGATTGGCCTTAAATTTTCAGTCCTGCCTTTGTCTTCTGAGTAGCTAGACTTAAAGGCGTGTGCCATCTTGGCAGGCTTTGTTTTTGTTTTGTTTCACGGCAGGCTTTGATCTACTTTTCTATCTTCTGCTTTTGTGTGTTTAGATTTTGTTCACATAATCTCTTGCTAAAGCAGAGAAGAGAATGTGGCCTGCAATTGCTCGGTCCTGTTACTGATAAGAGACGCTTTGTCAGAGTGAGTGGGAAGGTGCTTGGACCCAGAGCTTAAGTGAGCTCAGAAGGAGGAACCACACACAAAGCTCTTCAGCTCAGCGGAGACAAGTATCAAAGTACTAGGAGAGAGGTCAGTAAAATGAGAATATTACCACAATGTAAAAATAGAAAAGAAAAAAAACAAAGATGAAAAGCTGGATTTTAGGCAAAGGCAATAGGAAAATTACTGAAGATCTTCAGAAATATCCTTTATATTCTTAGTTCTTAGTGACACACATTTTCATTTCAAGTTCTTTTCATTTAAAGCATCTAATTCTTTGGAAGATGAGAAAGAAAGAAGCTGCATGACTAAATCTTTCCATTTTCCATATTGGTAGCAAAATACATCTAAGTATCAACCCTAGTACATATACAAGAACAAACTGAAAATCTGGAAATGACTATAATAAAAGGGCTGCAATACAGTATTTAAGTCAGATATTTCTGGCCACATTAATGCAATGAGTTCTCAAAAATAGAACCCATTTCTTTTTATATGCAAAATGAACACTGCTCAATTTGGTATTAGCATTAATAATAAAACACGAATTTTACACACACTTTCTCACTTTCCACCACCGCATGCCTTGGTACCAGGATTGAACCTAAGACACACACTAAGCCCTGCTGAGACACATTCACTAGGCCACTAAGTTACCCACGCTGGGCTCAAACTTGTGATCCTCCTGCCTTAGCTACTCAGAGTGCTGGGTTCTAACCATTATGCTTTGCCTATAAATTACATTTTAACAACTATTTTAAATTCAGACCAAGTAAATCAAGGCTCCATCAAATTAAATTTTTACTCATTTATCCACTTATTCTCTCCCTCTGAAACTTAATTCTTCAAAGATAGTGCTTAAATGCAGTGTTCTTACTTTGGGGAATAAAAATACTCTTTGGATATATATTTAACAGTGGCAATCATCATTTGAAAATACACGTACTTCCTGTAACTCTAACTCATCCACAGTTAGGATTAATGAGTAAAAAAGATAACTAATTTGAATAACAAGGATTTGTATCAATATTAACATATCACTTCTCAGTTTCTGGCTAAGATCAAGCATAGTATTAGATAAATAACAGTAAGGCTCAGGTAATGAAACCGTTCAAAAGGAAAATTCCAGAAACTAGTATGTAAGGAAATACAACAGGATACTGATAGAATCCTGTCACTTTCAATATGGCCACTAGGAATCATATAAATGAACCTTGAATTAGGTTCTAATACTTTTAAAAGCTACCACTTGGAAGTCACATAGGTACTCAGTCTCTGATATAGAGAAACTTGGTTTAATATTATTCAATGTTTGGAGGCAAAATAGGATCACTGTCAGTTACACCTATATATACACATTTAAGTGTGTGTCATTTATCAGTGATACATGGTGTTTTTCCACGTACAACTCAAAGACTGCTAATTTACATAACGACATATATTGGTTACTTTCCTATACAGGGAAGAAAAAACTAAAAATTTAAAATATATGTTACCATTCTAAATAATGTTCTGTTTTGGTGCACAGGCTATGAGATCTTTTTACATAGGCTGTCTGTATATATTTCTTTATGTTATTTTTGTTGAGTTTTTAAAATAAAGTGAGACATCATAGATATACTTTCCAATTTGTCATTTGAGACAGCATACACAGTTTTCCTGACAATACACAAAGTAATATAATTATTCTTAGTGGCTATGCAGTATTGCTTTTATATGAAACAGGTAACGATTTACTTAATCTGCTACTCAGATTGTTTCTAATATCCAAAATAATCTGCAGCGATGGCTGTTTTGGTATATAAGTTTTGCAAACTGAGCCAATTATTTGCTTAGGACATTACTTTTAATATATACTATCTACAGGGGCCGGGAGATGGTTCAGTGGAATAAGCGCTTCCCTGGCAAGCGCAAGGGTCTGAGTTCAATCCCAGGTTCCGGAAAAAAAAAAAAAAAAAAAGATATACATACATATTATATACTATCTATGCATTATTTTCCTACCAACATTGTACAAGTAGATTTTTTTTCCCCAAGCCTGCTCCACACAGATTGTGGATTATTATTATTATGCCTTATGATTATTGTAAATCTATTATCTTTTCTATGAAGCACATATTCTTATGTTTACTGAATCTAAAAATTAGTTTAAACACATATACATAAATATCCACACATACAAATATAGAATATTCAGAATTCAACCCATTACTTGTTAAATGTTAAAAACAAATTTTCTCTCAAAGCAATGTTTTTCTTTATAATTTATGCTTTGACAACAACCTCAGAAAGACTTTCCTCATAACATGTGAGCATCAGTACTTCTAGTACTTTGAAGACTTTTTGGGGGGTAGGGATTGTATCCTAGGGCAAACTCAGGACCTCACATTTACCAGGAAAATGTGGTAAACATTTTGCGCTGCACCACTGAGCTAAACTCCCATTCCAACCAGTACCTTCTAGCAGGTTTACAATTTCTTTTCTTTAGGGTATCCTTAAGCTACATAAAATGGATTTTTTTTTTTTTTTTGTTATATGTTCTGTGTATAAGGGGGGGGACTAAATTTCCTTGTTTTCAATGATCCAGCTAATGATTAACTAATGATTCAGTCACTAATATTCAGCCAGGCAAA